ATTTTTTCTACCCTATTTCCAAGTATCTCTACATTAGTTGAGTTTAGTAGCTCTGTGCATGCCAAGTCCTCTTTAATATACAGACTTACTCCTCCATTTGACCTAGTTTCTCCATCACATCTATATAAATTATAATTTGGATTCCAGATTTCACTATCCATGTAATCTTTCGTATGAGTTTCTGTGAATGCCCCAAATATTGAGTTTGACTCTAATAGGAGGCCATTTATGAACTTAACTTGATTTCCTAATTTTGACTTTAGGCCTTATATGTTTGCAAATATGAATGATTTTCCATATTGTGTCACTTCTGGAAAGTTTTGGTTGTTCTCCCTCCTGTTCACCCTGACCCAGGGGGTGCTGTTCTGGCAATGGTTTGTCCAGTTTTGTAAGTGGTACTGGTGAGTGTAGTAGTCTCTGTGTAGTTGGGGGGTGTAGTATGTGTGGGCTTGATGACGAATCATAGTCCAGTCTTGGGCATTTCCCCCTCTCCGTCCGTACTCCTGCAACTTTTCTGCCTGTCAGTTTCTTCCCCTGTTTCTGCCTGCCTCTAAAAAATTTCCAAGGCCATTATATTGGACTTCCTCTCTTACATAGCGCTGTGTACCTCTGACGTGGAAATCAGGGCAATAAAGATTGTAGCATTTCCTCTCATTTACTGAGTTTGCATAGCTTAGGGTGGAAATATCTACACTCTGTACCAAAACGACATCTGCCCTTCCCTAACATGTTTCGGCATTTTCGGGGATGCATGAGTGTGCATTCCGTGCCTCTGGTCCCATAACTGCACTGTCCTTTTGCATAATATCTGCAAATATTTTTTATTAATATTAATGCCTCAACTATGAGATTTCATGAATGCCCCAAATATTGAATTTGACTCTACTAGAAGACCATTTCTAAACTTAATTTTATTTCTTCATTTTGACTTTAGGCCTTGTATGTTTGCAAATATGAATGATTTTTCCATATTGTGTGTCACTTCTGGAGGGTTTTGTTAGTTCTACTCCTTCTCCACCCTGATCCAGGGTGTGCTGTTTAGGTAATGGTTTGTCCAGTTTTGGTAGTGGTACTGGGAAGTGTGGTGGTTTCTGTGTAGTTGTGGGGTGTAGTATGTGTGCGCCTGATGACGAATTGTAGTGCAGTCGTGGGCATTTCTCCCTCACCATCCGTACTTCTGCAACGTTCCTGCCTGCCTGTTCCTCTCTCTCTGCGGCTGCCTCCAAAAAACTTCTCAGGGTTATGAACAAATCCACAAGGGCTGTGACAAGGGTTCGAACCTACATCCGAGAGGATCCCAGATGCTGCCTTAATCGACTGGGCTATGACATGGTAAAAGAATTGCAACCGGGAAATCATCCTGATTTACCAACGGATCCTGCAGTCTCTCCGAGACACAAACCAGGGTTTTATGCAATTCCCCCATGCACCCGAGCTATGTCAATAGGCTGTTCTATTGATGTAGTAATGAAGTAAGGGCGAAGGGGTAGAACAGCCTATTGACATAGCTCGGGTGCATGGGGAAATTGCGTAAAAACCCGGGTTTGTATCTCAGAGAGACTGCAGGATCTGTTGGTAAATCACGATGATTTTCTGATTGCAATTCTTTTACATGTCGTAGCTCAGACGATTAAGGCAGCGTCTGGGATCCTCTCGGACGTAGGTTCGAACGCTCGTCATGGCCCTTGTGGATTTGTTCATTTGATGCATCATGCTATTGTGATTTCTGTGTGTCCTAGGGTTATTATATTGGACCTCCTCTCGTCTATAGCACTGTGCACCTCTCATGTGGTAATCAGGTCATTTAAGATCATATCATTTTCTCTTATTAACTGAGAGTTTGAATAGATTATGGTGGAAATATCTGTACTTTATTCTAAAACGACATTTACCTCTGCCTAATATGTTTCGGCATTTTTTGCGGTTGCATGAATGTGCATTCAGTGCCTTTGGACCCTTATCTGCACATTACTTTTGCATCATATTTGCAAATATTTTCAAGTGATTTTATTCTGGTTGTTTATACCTATACCTTTATCTCCACATTGCTTTCAAAGCTGGAGAAATTGCCGACCTGGAGAGCGTGCAGAGATCCTATACTGCTAGAATTCACTCAGTAAAACACCTAAACTATTGGGACCGACTAAAGAGCCTAAATCTGTACTCCCTTGGGCGCAGGCGGGAGAGAGATATAATAATTTACACGTGGAAAATGTTAGAGGGGCTGGTCCCAAACCTGCACACAGAAATAACATCACATGAGACCAGAAGACATGGCAGGATGTGCAGAATACCCCCGTTGAAAAGCGGAGGTGCAACAGGTACTCTGAGAGAGAACTCTATCAACATCAGAGGCCCGAGACTGTTCAACACGCTTCCGCTACACATAAGGGGCATAACTGGCCGACCCCTCACAGTGTTCAAGAGAGAACTGGATAAGCACCTCCAAAGGATACCTGATCAACCAGGCTGTGACTCGTACGTCAGGCTGCGAGCAGCCGCGTCCAACAGCCTGGTTGATCAGTCCGGCAACCAGGAGGCCTGGTCGACGACTGGGCCGCGGGGACGCTAAGCCCCGGAAGCACCTCAAGGTAACCTCAAGGTAAGTTACCTGTGCATGCCTTGGCCACCTCTGTTTTGGGTAGTCTGTGTTTTCTGTTCTAACTTTTTTGTTTCCACATTTTTTTCCAGTATTCCTCTCATCTTTCTCATTTTTGCTCTCATTATTCATATTACCGGTTGGCTCTTCAATATTACCATCGTTTTTGTGTACCTCGACACAATGTCCTTCCACATTGCTAATTTGGCTCTCTAAACTATCAGTCCCTGGGTTGTGTTCCATGTTCATTGTTGATTTTACACAATCTGCATATATTTCTGGAAGCTTTTGTGTGAAAGGTAGCCTATATGCTTCAGGAATGTTATTCATTAGTTTGGTGATATTTTCTAATATCAGTCTACCATTGTAACAGCTCCAGTAGGTACCTTGTTTGTTTGCATAGTGTGTAGGTAATTCTGTACAACTCAGGAGAAATCTTGTTACAAATGTTACATACAATCCCTACAACAATACAAATACAACAGATATACAAAGTTTATTTTTTCTTAGTGAGCAAGACATGGATATACAGTGGAGCCTCGATTAACGAATTTAATCCATTCCGGCACCGAGCTCGTCATGTGAAACGTTCATCTTTCGAAACAAATTTCCCTATTTAAAATAATGTAAATAAAATTAATCTGTTCAGCAACCGCAAAACATCAATATGATATTCGATTATTTAAACAATGGAGCAGCCTACCTGACAAACACTGAACAAATCTTTTTTGACATTTGTTCTTTTTTCAAATTTTTTATTTTTTTTTATTCTACAAATAAAATTCAATGTTTTGCAACATCACAGCAGTCACCCCTTTACATCCCAGCATCATTAGCATTGCGAGAATTTGCGAGAATCAGCAGGAACGCTAGGAACCACCACATGGTTTTCTCATTAACGCTTAAGCTGCTAAGGGGTCATGAGGAGATTTACACCCCTGTGCTCAAGGAAAAAACTTCTAATTTTTTTTTGTCTTCTAAGAATGTTAATTTGTGTCCCCCAAGCACGGGGAAAAAAAAAATCGTAGGCGATATATTTTTGGCGCAATAAGCCGAGGAAGTTTGGCAAAATGTGGGCATTGACAGAGCGGTCGTCAGAGGCTGTCAACGTCACCCAAACTGTCAGGTGGGAGTTGCCACAAAGATATTATTACCTAATTATTTCAATGTCTCTGATTGATTTTTTCTTAATTTTTTGCAATAATATTATTCAATAGTGTGTAGTGTGATAGATTTATATAATAAAATGTGTGAATCATTGCTATACTCAAAAAGTATGATGTTCATATTAGTGATTCAATTATTACGTTCATGAAACAATAAACAAATAATTTTGCTGTTATTACACTATATACACACACATTATATATAAGTATCTACATGTTTTGTTCAGCACAACTGTAAGTCTAGGCTGATATAGTTAGTTCAGGCACTAAGACACATCGCTACACACACAGTCAGCTGGCGGCTGCCTCCCTCCCTCATTCAAGGTCAGGCACACTAAAATTTCTCTCCCAACAATACTGTTTGTAGTGTTATTACACTATATACACACAATATATATCAATTTTGCTGTTATTACACTAATACACACATTATATATAAGTATCTACATTTGTGTTCACCATAGAGAACCACTGAGCTGGTATGGTGAATGCAGATAACAACAGGTGACCACTCAGTCAGTAAACGACACTATCTCCCTCCCTCCCTCAGCATTACTCCTCCTACACAGCGCTAATTATCGCAACACTCCTGCTATTATCACAATCCTGGTTATTTTTATCAGTCAGGGGCCATCTGTAATACAGTACTGTCATCGCTAAATAATAGCAGTTACATATTTATTTTGACATTTTTAGGCGATGCTGTGGTCACAAGCTGAACAGCAATGCTGTTAGCTCATGCTGCATGCATCAGCCTTGGTTGCTCTCACAGTACTGTGGCTCTCACACCGGAGAATATTGCCCACGATTTTTTTTTAACATGGCGTCTGTTTACAAGAACCCTGAGGAAGCTGATGTGAACCCCGTGTAGCCGCAGGACTTTTAAATCTTGCGTGGTACTCCCAAAATCATATGATACCGCAGGCCATTTGAATCGTGCTTGGCACTCTATGGAGTAAATATATGCCATGCACACTGTGGGACATGTTTCTCATGGCGCATATATATGCCATGCGCAGTTTAAGGGTTAATGAAGCGGAAGCTCGTCAATCGAGACAAATTTTCGGCGAGTGGCTCTCTCGTTACTCAAAATGCTCGTAGATAGAGCCGCTCGTCACTCGAGGTTCCATTGTATATTGCAAATAAACTATTACGTCTAGTTTATTGCAGTATTCAATATCTTCTTCAGGAAAACAAACTGTTGTATATGACAATGAGTAAATAATAGTTCATACCTCTTTGTGTTCAGAGAATATTTTCTGTGACTCTGGGCATGAAGGAAGAGGTTTGATGGGCCGGATTTCATTGTCAAGGATGTCCCAGAAGGGCCCCAGCTCCTCCTCATCGGCACCACCACCGCCCTCCGTGCCTCCACCACCGTCGCCGTTGTGACTACCACCACCTGCATACACAAAGCAAGGTAAATTTATCTAATTTACATTACAGACATAATGACACATAAAAGTTCAACACCCTCCTTAAGTTACACTGCAACTCATTTGAAAAACAAATATAAAAAAAGGCAAAATAAGTACTGTACTGTATTTTGTTCATGCTCACACAAATTTTTGTATACAGAATTTGCCTACAATCTCTAACAATACAGTACTGATAATAATGTGTTTATATACTGCATACAATATAGTGACATTATATAAATATCTATACAAAAGTCTGTCTGAAGTACGAGGCAAGATGCTTGGGGGGTTAGCAACAAACAATTTTACAAGATGACACTTGTGGGGGTGTGGGAGTTACAGGCCATTCAGGATCAGCCCCAGTATCACTTTTCAGGAAATATTGACACCTGTAATGACCATGTGATTTTCACGAAGTCTGATGTCAGGGACTTGCTTTTGGTAGAGTACCAATTTCCTCCCAATGCTTACCCATGTATTTCCAATTTTTGGGGGAAAAAGAAAGAGAAAAAGAGAGAGAGAGAGAGAGAGAGAGAGAGAGAGAGAGAGAGAGAGAGAGAGAGAGAGAGAGAGAGAGAGAGAGAGAGAGAGAGAGAGAGAGAAAAAAAGAGAAAGAGAGAAAGAGAAAGAGAGAGCGAGCGAAAGCAAGTGAGCGAGAGAGCAAATGAGAGAGCAAGAGAGCGAGCGAGAGAGAGGAGGGGGGGGGGAGAGGGAGGGAGACCAGCCACAGCCAGGTACCTCATCTTGTATACTGTATTTATAAATACAATCTTCAAGCGTCACTTATCTCAGATACAAACTTCAAGTTTTGTGCACATATTTGAACCAACCTCCCACCCTTGTTATGTTATCTTGACTATAGGAAAATAAAATATGTTATGTCTAAAACTTTTTAAACTTTGAACTGTAATTCTTTTATTTAATTTTCTAAAGTGACATTTTAATGACTAAAGACAATGCAGTAATTAAGCCATACTGATTTAAGTAATCATCATCTCATTTTTCAGTACTCCTCCATTCATAGTTTTCAGAGTGAAGTACGAACATATCAATGTAATGAAATCACAACAATATAATGCATCTAGAACATATTGAAGAAATGCAACGGGACAGAGCTCACATCCCTGGAAAGATATTAATATATTTATTACTCGGGTAACAACATACTGGAGTGAACGATATGGAAGAAAATGTAGAATAGAGCCAGTGAGGAGCATGAGTGCCTTAGGCACAATCAGAGAACATTGTACAGACATCAGAGGTCCACGGTTGTTCAACATCATCCCAGCGAGTATAAGAAATATTGCTAGAACAACCATGGACACCTTCAATAGAAAACTATCTAGTTTTCTTCAAGAAGAGCCAGACCAACCAGGCTGTGGCAGATATGTGGGATTGCAGGCTGCTCCAAGCAACAGCCTATTCGACCAAGCTCTCACAAGTCAAGCCTGGCCTTGGGACAGGCTTGGGGGAGTAGAAGAACTCCCAGAACCCATCCAGGAATAATCCAGGTATTATTAATATGTTGCTCTGATATATTAATATGTTTATTATGTACCTATGGTTCTGGTACACTAACATGGTTGTTATGAGCCTGTTGTTACCGTATATTAACTTGACTGTTAATGTACGGTATCACTGTACATTAGGCACTGCGGTACAGTAATGTGATTTACAAATAAATCACAACAACGTGATATAACAATGAGAACATCAACTGAAGCAATAAGGTGACTCAAACCAGCAATCAGGGTACTCCTAGCTTGGGTGAATTAAGTGACAACCTCAGCGATCAGGGTACTCCTAGCCTGGGTGACTTGAGTGACAACCCCAGCAATCAAGATTACCCTGATCGCTGGGTTGATCATTACATTAGGATCACTGAATGAGGATCACCTCATTACTCCAATAGATTTTCTTGTTGACATACCATGTTAGCCTGATTCCATTGTGCATCTGAAGCCGAAGTGTACAATTGACAAAATGCTTTACCTACACCAGATGTTATATGTAAAGTAAATGAATTATAAATAATTAATTTACGTTAGTAAATAATTAAAGTATATGTAAAGTGTAATATGCAGGGGGGTTATATGTAAAATTTGGACTGGATTCAGTAGAGTCCTCCACACTTCCTGTGGATTTCAGTGGAATCCCAGGTTGTTGTATAACTTATGCCATGTCGTGGTTCAGGGTAAGGAGGGTGTCTGGGAGTATCTTGTTCACTGCTTTGAATAACCTGCAACTTCATTGCTCTAACTGATTTAGTAACATGAGTGTTACGTACCTGGTGCTCCAGTACATTAACATGATTGTTACGTACCTGGTGCTCCAGTACATTAACATGATTGTTACACACCTGGTGCTCCAGTACATTAACATGATTGTTACGTACCTGGTGCTCCAGTACATTAACATGATTGTTACGTACCTGGTGCTCCAGTACATTAACATGATTGTTACGTACCTGGTGCTCCAGTACATTAACATGATTGTTACGTACCTGGTGCTCCAGTACATTAACATGATTGTTACGTACCTGGTGCTCCAGTACATTAACATGATTGTTACGTACCTGGTGCTCCAGTACATTAACATGATCGTTATGTACCTGTGGTTGCCAACAGTAATCTACATGCGTCTATACTACCTAAAGTCGTAGACAAAATACACTTCATTAATTCCACTTCAAGACAAGAAAAGGTCAGAGAAAAGATGTTTTAAGACTGAGGGAAAGGGCCAAGTCTAGATTCGTTCCTGTCTGTGTTACAAGTGCTGTGGGTGACATATTAGCTGAGGATGTGAATAGAAAATTGAATTGAGCCAAAGAATTGAGCCAAAGTGGCAATGTAGAAGGGCATGGTGTCAAGGTACACAAGAATGAAGGCAAAATTGTAGAGCAAACTGGTGATATGAATAAGGGGAGAAAAAATGATACGAATGAGAATACAAATGAGAAAGACGAAAGCAACAAGGAGAAAGATAAGGGCAATACCGAGAATGAATGCAGAAACGAGAAAGTTGGAACAAAAAACACAGAGGTAGCCAAGTCGTGCACGGGTACAAACAATAAGAATACAGTCACAGATGAAAATATTTGCAGGTATTATGCAAAAGGACAGTGCAGATATGGGCCCAGAGGCACGGAATGCGCATTCATGCACCCACGGAAATGCCGAAACTGGTTAGGGACAGGCAGATGTCGTTTTGATACAGAGTTATCTTGAGGTTATCTTGAGATGATTTCGGGGCTTTAGTGTCCCCGCGGCCCGGTCCTCAACCAGGCCTCCACCCCCAGGAAGCAGCCCGTGACAGCTGACTAACGCCCAGGTACCTATTTTACTGCTAGGTAACAGGGGCATAGGGTGAAAGAAACTCTGCCCATTGTTTCTCGCCGGCGCCTGGGATCGAGGATGGAGAGGGGAAAATGCCCAAGACTGGACTACAATTCGTCATCAAGCCCACACATACTACACCCCCCAACTACACACAAACTACCACACTCCCCAGTACAACTACCAAAACTGGACAAACCATTGCCAGAACAACACACCCTGGGTCAGGGTAGAGAGGAGGGAGAACTACCAAAACCTTCCAGAAGTGACACACAATATGGAAAATCATTCATATTTGCAAACATACAAGGCCTAAAGTCAAAATCAAGAAATAAAGTTAACGAAAGATTACATGGATAGTGAAATCTGGATTCCAAATTATAATTACTATAGATGTGATAGAGAAACTAGGTCAAATGAAGGAGTAGGTCAATATATTAAAGAGAACCTGGTATGCACAGAGCTACTAAACTCAACTAATAAGGTGGTAGAGGTACTTGGAATTAAGGTAGAAAAATAAACCTAATTATTATTCTAATATATAAACCGCCAGATACAATGGTTGAGGAATTCACAGAGCAGATGCACAAAATAGAGAACATCCTTAATAATCTAGCAAACCCAGCTCCAGATATTATCTTCCTTGGGGATTTCAATTTACCAAGTCTAAGATGGAGAATGGCAAACAAAAATATCATAGCAGGGAACCACCTGGGAAATAACCAACCACAGGTCAGAGAACGTTTGAGATTCTGTGACAAATTCTCGCTCAATCAACAGATTACAGAACCAACTAGGAACGAAAACACACTAGACTTGCTATTCACAAACAATGATGAGCTAATCAGAGACATTACAATCTCAGATACTACATACTCAGACCATAAGCTCATTGAAGTGCGAACTAGCATAAATAACGGTAGTAGGTCTAAGAGACCCAACAAGCGAGAAGGGGTATTCAATCAATTCAATTTCAACAATAAGAGGATCGACTGGGAAAAAATAAATGTAGACCTTGCAACCATTCAATGGGAGACGGTCTTAAGCGACAAAACTCCCACACAGGGAATAGCTCAACTGACAGCTGAAGCTTACAAGGTCTGCTTGAAGCACGTGCCTGTGAGGAGGGGCAGAAAGAGGACCACTCTAGAAAGAGAACGCAGACGACTGTACAGGAGAAGGAAAAAAATAACGGAAATGCTTAAGCAGACACGACTATCACAAGAAAGGAAAATAAACCTAAACAGGGAGATCGAAGAAATAGAACAAACGTTGAAGCGATCATACGAGTCTGAGGAAATGGAATTGGAACAGAAAGCTATACAAGAGATAAAGAAAAATCCAAAATATTTTTTCACATATGCAAAATCAAAATCAAAAACCTCCACCAGTATTGGACCTTTAATTACAACTGAAGGTACGTACACAGAGGACAACAAAGAAATTAGTGAAATTCTAAGAAGCCAGTATGAGGCTATGTTTAGCACACCAATAAACAACATGAAAGTTGATGACCCAGACAGCTTCTTTATGAATGACATTCAAGCTGCAGATAATATAACGGATATTAACACAAACTCGGAAGACTTTGAAAGAGAAATTGACAATATGCCCATGCACTCAGCTCCTGGGCCTGACTCATGGAATTC